GTGCTTAACATCACTAATTATCAGGGAAATGCAACTCTAAGCCATAATGAGATATCACCTCACAACTTTTAGAATGGCTATTATCAAGAAGACAAGAGAAAACAAGTGCTGGCAAGGATGTGGAAAAAATGGAACCCTTGTACACTGTTGCTGGGACTGTAAATTGGTTCAGCCACAATGGAAAACAGTATGGAGTCTCCTTAGAAAAGGGAAAATGAACTAGCATATGAACCAGTAATCCCACTTCTGGGTGTTTATCTGAGGGAAATGAAATCACTGTCTTGAAGAGACATCTGCGCCCTTGTGTATAATGCAGCATTATGTCCAATAGCCAAGACGTGGAAACAACCTAAGTGTCTGTTGACAGATGAATAGCTAAGGAAAAAAATACACACAATGGAATCTTATTCAACCATAAAAAGAGGGAAATCATGCCATTTGTGACAACATGGATGGACCTTGAGAGCATTATGCTAAGTGAAATAAGTCAGATAGAGAGAGACAGATACTGTGTGATCTCACTTATATGTGGATTCTAAAAAAAAAAAAAAAAGTTCATGGAAACAGAGAACAGATTGGTGGTTGCCAAGGCTGGGGGCTGACAGATGAGGAAGATGGATGAAAATGGTTAAAGGGTACAAAATTCCAGTTATAAGATAGGTATATTCTGGGGATATAATGTACAGCATGGTGACTACAGTTTACAGTACTGTATTATATATTTGAAAATTGCTGGGAGACTAAATTTTAAAATTTCTCACCACATACAGACAGAAAGGTCACTACATGAGGTGATGGATGTGTTAACTAACTTTATTGTGGCAATCATTTCTCAACATATATAAAACCACTACACTGTACACCTTAAACAATATATATGCCAATTATATCTCAATAAAGCTGGAAAAAAACTTAAAATTTTGCCTATCACATGGGAAAAATGTCTTATGCTTGGTATTAGTTCTAATTTTCCTAAATAATAATTCAAATGAATATAATTTTAGATATTTTTGGCCCATATGATCCACTTGTGAAATATCTTTATACTTTTTGCTTAAATTACTACTGAGTTGTTTGCCTTTGACTTTGGGTTGTTAGACGGCCTGTATATATTCTCAATTTTAATCCTGTCTGTAGTTTATGTTTTAAATATTTTTTCTCAGCCTTACACTTGTAATTTGCTTTTTCCTTATGATTTCTCTCATTAAACAATAAGTGTTTATACACTCAAATCTGTTGATCTTTTCCTGTAGGCTTCTGGGTTTTGTGTCTTGCTTAGTAAGGCCTTTTCTACTTTGAAACAATGAGAAAAAATTCTCTTAATTTTTCCCAGTATATTTGAAATTGTGTAGTTTTCATACCCAGATCTTTAATCTGTATGGATTTTAATTTTTTGAATGATCTGAAGGAAAGATCCAATCATGTATATTTTTTACAAGTAGACAATTGTCCTAAGACCATTTGATAAATATTTAATTCATCCCTGACTGAAATATTATATGTCAAGTCTCTGTGAACCTGTATTTATTTTTAGACTTTACTTTCTGTTCTACTGATATAATTTTCTAGTCCTGTGACAGTGGTACACTCTCTTAATTACTATAACTTTATAGGTAGAGGGCTACTGCCCCACCCCTATTTTGCTATGCAAAATATGCCCCCTCTGTTCTTACACATTTTCTTTTCTGAATAATTTTTTGAATCAGCCTATGAAATTCTATGACAAAAAAGCTAGATTTAAAGAAAACTGAGAGTGCATTGATTTCATGGCTCATCTCTAGCTTTGTTCCCTTTCTCATTCCTAAAGTTAAACACCTGTGCATTGATTTGGTCTTCTCTTTTTCTCCAAATCTGTATTCAGAGTTCACAAAGGTTTGCCAATTGTACTGCTTATTTAAAAAACTTGGCTTTTTCATAGGCAGCAAAAGTAAAAGTAGATAAATTGGGCTGCATCAATATTAAAAACTTATGTGCATCAAGAAATACAATCAAATAGATGCAGAAAAAGCATTTGATAAAATTCAACACCCATTTATGATAAAAACTCTCGCCAAAGTGGGTATAGAGGGAACATATCTCAACATAATAAAAGCTATATATGACAAACCTACAGCCAGCATAGTACTCAATGGTGAAAAACTCAAAATCTTCCCACAAAACTCTGGGACAAGAAAAGGATGCCCACTATCACCACTCCTATACAACATAGTCTTGGAAGTCCTAGCCATAGCAATCAGGAAAGAGAGAGAAATAAAAGGGATCCAAATTGGAAAAGGAGAGGTAAAAGTGTCACTATATGCCGATGACATGTTACTATATATAGAAAACCCTAAATGGTCCACATAAAAACTACTAGAGCTGATCGAAGAATTCAGCAAGGTAGCAGGTTACAAGATTAACATTCAAAAATCAGTTGCATTTCTTTACACTAACAGTGAATTAACAGAAAAAGAAATAAAGAAACAATCCCCTTTAAAATAGCACCCAAAGTAATAAAATACCTAGGAATAAATCTAACCAAGGAGGTGAAAGAATTATTCACAGAAAACTATAAATCATTGAAAGAAATTAAAGAAGACTTAAAAAAATGGAAAGATATCCCATGCTCCTGGATTCGAAGAATCAATATTGTTAAAATGGTCACACTGCCAAAGGCAATCTACAGATTTAATGCAATCCCTATCAAATGACCCAGGACATATTTCACAGAACCATAACAAATCATAATAAAATTTATAGGGAACCACGAAAGACCTAGAATTGCCAAAGCATTACTGAAGAAAAAGAAAGAGACTGGAGGAATAACTCTCCCAGACTTCAGACAATACTGTAGAGCTACAGTCATCAAGACAGCATGGTATTGGTGCAAAAACAGACATATAGACCAATGGAACAGAATAGAGAGCCCAGAAATGAACCCACAAACTTTTGGTCAACTCATCTTCAACAAAGGAGCCAAGAATATACAATGGAATAAAGACAATCTCTTCAGCAAATGGTGTTGGGAAAACTGGACAGCAGCATGTAAAGCAATGAAGCTAGAACACTCCCTTACACCATACACAAAAATCAACTCAAAATGGATCAAAGACTTAAACATAAGACAAGATACAATAAACCTCCTAGAAGAAAATATAGGCAAAATATTATCTCACATTCATCTCAAAAATGTTCTCCTAGGACAGTCTACCCAAGCAATAGAAATAATAGCAAGAATAAACAAATGGGACCTAATGAAACTTACAAGCTTCTGCACAGCAAAGGAAAGCATAAGTAAAACAAAAAGACAACCTATGGAATGGGAGAAAATTTTTGCAAATGAAACCGACAAAGGCTTGATCTCCAGAATATATAAGCAGCTTGTATGACTCAATAAGAAGAAAATAAACAACCCAATCCAAAAATGGGCAGAAGACCTAAACAAGCAATTCTCCAAGGAAGACATACAAATGATCAATAAGCACTTGAAAAAGTGCTCAGAATCACTAATTATCAGAGAAATGCAAATCAAAACTACAATGAGGTATCACCTCACACCAGTCAGAATGGCCGTCATTCTAAAATCCACAAATGACAAATACTGGAGAGGCTGTGAAGAAAAGGGAACCCTCCTACACTGCTGGTGGGAATGCAGTTTGGTGCAGCCACTGTGGAAACAGCATGGAGGTTCCTCAAAAGACTAGGAATAGACTTACCATATGACCCAGGAATCCCACTCCTGGGCATATATCCAGAAGGAACCCTACTTCAAAATGTCACCTGCACCCCAATGTTCATAGCAGCACTATTTACAATAGCCAAGGCATGGAAACAGCCTAAATGTCCATCAACGGATGACTGGATAAAGAAGAGGTGGTATATTTATACAATGGAATACTACTCAGCCATAAAAACTGACAACATAATGCCATTTGCAGCAACATGGATGCTCCTGGAGAATGTCATTCTAAGTGAAGTAAGTCAGAAAGAGAAAGAAAAATACCATATGAGATCGCTCATATGTGGACTCTAAAAACAAAACAAAACATAAGTACAAAACAGAAACAGACTCATAGACATAGAATACAAACTCGTGGTTGCCAAGGGGGCACGGGGTGGGAAGGGACAGACTGGGATTTCAAAATGTAGAATAGATCAACAAGATTATACTGTATAGCACAGGGAAATATATACAAAATCTTGTGGTAGCTCACAGAGAAAAAAGTGTGACAATAAATATACATAAGTTCATGTATAACTGAAAAATTGTGCTCTACACTGGAATTTGGCACAACATCGTAAAATGACTATAACTCAATAAAAAATGTTTAAGAAAAAGAGATACAGTCAACAGAATGAGAAGTCAACCTACAGAATGGGATAAGATATTTGCAAATAATATATTTGGTAAGGGATTCTTATCTGGAATATATAACAACTCCTACCACTCAACAACAACAACAAAAAACCCACAGATAACCAATTTAAAAATGTTCAAGAGACTTAAATAGAACTTTCTCCAAGGAAAATACACAAATAGCCACAACCATGCAAACAGATGTCAACATCACTAATTTTGGGAGAAACACAAATGAAAACTCAAAATGAGAGTCCATCTCACATCTAGTAGAATGACCCCATCCAAAAAACAAACAAACAACAAAAAACAGAAAATAACAAGTGTTTGTAACGATTTACAGGGATTAGAATCCTTGTGCACCATTGGTGGAAATGTAAAATGATGTAGCCATTCCACTAGGGGAAATGGTACGGCATTTCCTCAAAAGATTAAACATAGAATTGCCATATGACCCAGAAGGTCACCTTCTGGGTATATGCCCCCAGAGAATTAAAATAGTATCTCAAAGAGATGTATGTATACACATGTTTATAGCAGTAGTATTCACAGTAGCCCAAAGGTGGAAGCAACAAGTGTCCATGGAGGAATAAGTGGATAAACTCAACGGAATATTATTCAGCCTTAAAAAGGAAGAGAATTTTAACACGTGGTACAACACAGATGAACCTTGAGGTCATTACACTAAGTGAAATAGCCAGTCACAAAAAGACAAACGCTATTTGATGACACTTGTATGGGACATCGAGAGCAGTCAAATGCATAGAAATAGAAAGTAGACTGGTGGTTGCCAGGCACTGGGGGAGGTGGGCGTGGGAAGTTTTGTGTTTAATGGAAATAGAGTTTCAGTTTTGCAAGATGCACAAGTTCTGGATGTTGGTTGCAAACAATGAATATATTTAACAGTGCTGAACTGTTCAGTTCAAAATCATTAAGATGGCCAGTTTGACACTGTTTATTTCATCACAGTTTAAAAAATGGTTTTTGGTTTTATTAATCAAGTCTATGTTTTTAATGGTTTCCATTTCTTATTTTCTGCTTTTACTTGTTGTAAGGCCTCCCTTTTGCTTTCCTTGTAGCAATTTCATTCTTTTTTTTATTAGCATTTGGAGTAAAGGTAGGGGTGTGTTAACGTCTCTCAACGTGATTGTGAAAAAAAATGTCAAACTTTTATTTCCAGAATTTTTGCTATATATACATTTCAACCCTTCTATTAAATGCCATATTTGCCAGTCATTGTTTTAGTTCTTAAACTCTTTTTCTTATTGTTGGATTGCTTTTCTTCATAGAAGTCTTTTCTTGTTTAATGGATGAACACTCCTTTCACATTCTGAGTACATACACATCTCCTTTCTTCCCTAAATTATATATTTCCTATAGACTCAATTGTGCACCTTTGTCCAGGGTATACATTCTGGTCCTTTTCTTTCATTTTCCTTGTTTTATATATGTTTTATGTATATATATATATATATATAATTTAAGTATAATCAGCTTACAATGTTGTGTGAATTTATTTTGAATGAAGATTTGCATTGATTAGTCTAGATCTGAGGGGAACAGTTCTGTTGGCCCAACAGTAACTTCTTCTCCAAGTTACGGCAGGTGGCTGACTGGGGCTCTGGGTGAGCAGCTGGATGTGTCAACTGGCTGGCTTCTCTACAGGTGGGTGGGCTTAGCGCCCTCTCTAATCGCCTGCCAATGAGCAGTGCTCTGTGCTGCTGGTGGAGGATTTTAGTGTAACTCCCTCCCTCCTAGGCTATGCTGCTCCCTCCATCCATACCTCTCTCTCTCACAAACACACACTTGCTGTGGAGACCTGTAACTACTGCAAGCCCTTCTCTGATTCTCTGTCAGGTTTCCATACTCTTATGAGGAGCTCCTGCCAGTCAGGTAGTTTCTTTTTAGTTTTAGCCTAGGGTCAAATGCCACAACTGCATGTCACTCTGTGTGTGTGTGTGTGTAGCTATGGGGATTGCTGGGAAAGAATGTCTTTCTCTCACATTCTGAATATTGTATGTCAATGACCTTGAAAATTTTCCCAGGAGTCCCTCAAGTTCTTTGTATTTGGTTTCTCTGTTAGAGTTTCTGTAATTCTGGCATTACCTTAGAAATTATTTGTTCCTTTCTGTCCTTTAGGCTGTGTTTCCTCTTGTTTCTCTGTCTCAGACAATTCAATTGCATCTACTTTGAGAACCTCCTCACAATTTGATCTCTTGGTTGCAATTCCTCTTGCTTTTTCATGCCACTGTGGGTGTGAGTGCAACTGGTGTTGGGGTGGGGGTGAGATGTGTCTACGGCACACATGTGTGACAGCTCTGTCACTCTTAACAATTTGAGCAGAAGTTCAAGTCGACCATGTGATGAGTCCAACATGATATAGTTGAAAAATGATTGCTGTCGCTCCCTCAGCATCTCTTCTAGGCACTGTGCTTGGTATACCACATGCATTTTCTCCAGTGCTTAAATGCTATTAGAACATAAGCACCACGAGGACAGGAACTGTAAGCCGTCTTGTCCATTATTGTATTCCTGGTGCCTAGCATAGCCCCCAGCACATAGTAGCTGCTCAATAAATATTTGTTGAGTTAAAAACCCTACCAGATGAGTAATAACTTTACTATCATTTAGTAGATGATGAGTTCTAAGCTCGGACAGCTTTATCAGACTTCTCTAGATTGTAAATACTGGAGTGAGGTTGCAAATACAGATCCATATGTCCTAAACTTGCTCTTACATACGACAATGCTAATATCAGGGGTTCTTTAAGTGAAACACTAGAATGCAGATATGAGTAGTTGTTCTAGATCTGACTTGAGTTCTGTTTTTCTCTCTGTAATGAAGTTATGCATCAAGATTTGCCCTTGTGCATACTGCAAAATAATAATCTCTTCTCTGGGGCAATGGACCATATTTTAGGTGGGAGAGATGTGGCTTTAGAGCAGTTCATATTAATAAAGCCTGAGAGTTTTAATTTATCACAGGTTCAAAGTGACCCCAGAGTACGACATGATCAGTGCAAAAAATTAGTTTACTTTAGGGCAAGTATATGGAAATTTGATGCCCAGGCCAAGACTCACTGTATTCTGTACTCATTAGCTCTCCTCTGGAGAAATCTGTTATCTCTGGGACAGTGACAAACCACGTCACATGTGGCAGAGTAAAGGCCTGGGTCTATTTTATGTCTAGCCATGCTTGTGTTTTCAATCCATCCTTCTCTCTTTGCACCCACAGACACTGCCTTCATTTCAGACCTCATCATTTTTACCTTTGCAACAGTCCACTGACTTTTCTCCCTATCTATAGCCTTACCTCTTCATATCCATTCTCCACACAGCAGCCAGGGTGATCTTTCAAAGACAAAAATCAGATCATATCATACCTCTTATAAAACCCCTTCAATGGTTCCTCAGGGGTCTCAAGATAAAATAACATTAGAGGTGATGTCCTGGAAGATCTGGGCCCTTTTACTGTCTCTGGCTTCATTCCCCATCACTGGGGAAGGAGACAGTGCTCAAGTGCCATTGAGGTACTGTGATGAATTGAGG